TTTTTTCTCTTTAGAAGTTGATGTAACTTCTACTTCACAAAGATGTAATAACCAATCAGTATAATTCTTTTGCATATATTTCTTTAGAAGAAAATAAAGATGAGAGATGAAACCCCAAAAAAGTTATTAATAAACAGCCAAAATTGTATTAAACCATTTTGAAGAGTACAATGAAACGCAAAATCCCAAAATTAACTGAAACTATATTAAAACATAATAAGGGGTATGACAAAATTACTTGAGGGAGTTTTGGCAAGCATCTTTAAAAGGAAAGTAAATATGCTTATGCTTTTGTAAATAAACCCCTTTAATTTCACAAAATCTACAACCAGAAAATGAATTATGACCAATAATATTCATAACTTTTGAAAGAGTAGAAATATCACCAGTCTATACAAGAATATATGTATAGGATAGTACTAAGATCTATATAAAGTAATCCACTTGAATATTATTCCTGACCTTGTTGCATCTATAACCAATATTTGCAGGCTTCTTTTCATTTGGATGTGACAACCTGTATACATAAAGATGAGAACTGTAATTAATATATTGCAATTTTAATGTTATAATATATGTTACAATTAGTTTTAACTTATATATGTTACAACATATTTTAGTTTATGTTGCAACATGTAAATTTGAAATTAATTGCTGCATCATCTTTATATATGCCTTTTTGAAAAAACTTTTTATATAGGCAACCAAGCATTTAGATAACTATCAAAGATGAATAGAGAGATCACTTAAAACATTTATAAGTGTCACTTCTATATCTTTATCTAACTAATGTTATAGAATTCATAAGATTGTGTAATCATGAGATTTGTCTAAATAGTAAACTAGTGAGATGACTAATTATCTATATTGTAAAAAGGATTTAAGAATCAAACCTGATCCTTAATCCTAATGATAGCTCAATTAAATATGCAATGCAGTCTATAATTATTATTAATCTAATCTACTAAATTCTGATCAATCATTTCTTTAAACTTCATTAAGGGCCCTACAGAATTAGATGTAAAATTATATCTATTATAGACTAATCAGAAAAGGCTAAGTTTTTGTCAATCTAAGACTTCATTTGTATCTACATATTCTAATGCTATACAGTATTTAAATATAATTAATGTTGATCAATGAATCAATCAACCAGATTTGTATGTATGTTAGTACATATACCTATCAATTCAGTCACATATAAAATTCTTATGAAAATTATCTAGTTTTACATATTGGCTGATACTTGAACTGATGGCTTATCACTGTATAATAAAACTTTAGCTTATAAAAAACTTGTAGATTAACCACTAAGCCAGGAATACTGATCCCTTGAAATAAATAAATATTTAGACTACATTAATTGTAAGGTTTTATTTTAAGTAATATTTTATGTTAATATTAATATAATATTTATGATGATACTTGTATAATATTAATTCACATAATATTTCATAATTATAAATAATAATTTAATTATAATTTTATTTCTATTTTAGGAATATGGTCTTTATTAAATCCTTCTAATCATTTCTTTAATAATCTCATTTAAATAGTAATTAGAATGCTTTTTTATTATTTCACTTAAAATCTAAAAAAAAAATTTTTTAAATATTATAAATAACATAATAAATAATAATTAATAAATTAAAAAATATTACCTTTATATTAGAACTTTTTTTTATCAACCTATTTTTTTAATAATATATCTCTACTTTTGAAAAAATTTCATTACTCTTGTAATAATAAGAATGCTAATTTTCAATAATTCAGATATTTTTTTTAAAGAAAACCTATTATAATACAAAATATATTATACTTCATTTTAAATCTTCATTTATATTGTTACTTTTCATAAGCTAAAGAATAACTTTTACTATAGTAACTCAACTGTAATTCCTATTTTTCTTCTATAAGTTTTTTTGTGATTTCTTGAAAAAAAGTTATGATTTCAAAATTTTAACTTTAATATATATTATTTTTTAAGAAAACTTCTTGTAAATAACATATATATAAATAAATTGTATATTTATTTAAATATAAAAAAATTCATAATAGTTTATTTAAAAATTAATGTTTTATGTAAAATGGAATAAACATAATTAACTTAAAAAATCGATCACTATCATATGATTGACATCAATTTTTATATTTTGAAATGCTATAATTGAACTCGACTTAGACAAAAAAGAACACCTAAATTAAATTATTGTAATACTTTTTATTACCTATTAATGATATATACTTCCATGTAATAGATTCTTTCCAAAATTAAAAATTTAATTTTAATTCATTCTATTTAATTTACAATTATTTGCTGGTAATATCAATAAATAAATTTGTTTCTTTAATTTCTAATATCATCAATTTTAATAATACATATAACTCATCATTATATAAAGGAATTATATTAAATAATAGTGCTTTGATATGATCCAGAGTATTTAAATAATTGTTTTTTAAATCATTAATTGATTTTGTAATTTGCCAATCTAATATAGTATCACCAATTTCATGTTTAGAAACAAAGATACTAGATGTAAAAATAATTTGAATTTGTTGCATTTAATCCAAAACAAATTGCAAGAAATTTCCAATCACTACTAAAATATAATTCAAAATTCCAAAGAAAACCTGCAATTTCTAATCCATTAATTCAATAGATTCATACTTTTCAACTTCTGGATATAAAGCAACTGTATGATGATAATTAGATGATAACATTTTTGATCATTAAAAATTATAAATGTTACCATAACATGTTTAACATTTTGACCAACATTTTGACAATCAACTGATAATATTTTCTGTGTAATAAATAAGGAATGATATATCAAAGTATTCCTTTACAATCACGTTGCCACCAGCTATAGAGTTCAAACCCTTATCTGCTGCATTTGTATTCATATTAATAAGTCTTATAGGAATCTTTTTAATCATTTCTTGAGTTAACCTATTTTATTCATTTGCAACAATATATTCATGTGGTAAATAATAATTTATTGCAGCTAAATTTCGTAAAATATAATTTGAATCTATTACTTTAATTATATTAAAATTTCTGCTTTTTTTAGTATATGGGAGCATTTCCAGTAAAATTATCATATGATTTACTATGTCTTATAACTTGATTTTACTGGAAACGTTTCCATATGATCATTTTTTTCAAAGTCAAAATAATAAATTTGATTATTAACTGCATAATCAAATGACTTTAATAAGACAGAATCCTGATTATGATAAATGAATTTTGCACTTTAAATAAATTCCTTTTTGGCTATCGTTGCTATTTCTTTTGCGTGATTATTAAGTGATGATTGTGAATATTGTAATCAAATGTTGCTTAACTCGAGATTCTCTAAGTTTTTAAAATTGTAATCCAAATAGTGATAGTCCAGATAAAAACTATTTTTATTCGAATTTATATTTATAGCCAATAAAATAAAATTTGTTTAAAAAAAAAATAATTATAAAAATATAATAACAATATTTTAAAATACTGTGCTTTGTTATAATCTGTTGCAATTTTGCTTGCTGATTTATTTGATTTAATTACAAATTCAAAATCCTCTGGATTTCCATTTTTATATTTTATTTTACATTAAACAGTTTGATGATTTTTTCCGTGTTCCCAAGTAGTTTTTATCAAGAATTGGATACTTTTTAGTAGGGTAAGTATAACAAAGTTCAGAAATTTTTGGATAAATCCTTTAAGCTTCTATTAAATAATTAAAGATTCGTTGTATAACATTATTTTTTTATTTCTTTATATGTAATTATAGAACATTTAGAATAATCAACTAACTCATAAGTTTTGATTTTTTTACTGCTTCAATTTCAATCATCATTGAATTATTATAAATGGATCGATCCAAAATTTTTAAATTTAAAAAATCATTTTTAATTTTATAATAAAAATACAATAATTGTTACCAGGTAATAATCAATGTCAAATGACCTGCCCTAGTCTGTCTTATTGTCAAAAAAATTTCATATTAGCCCACAATAAAGGCATTTGATTTCTCCTTTTAGAATTGAGAGTGACATGTTTTGGATACACAATTTGTACGTGCTCTTTAGTTAAAAAAAAAAAAAAAAAATCTTGTGTAAAATTTAATTTAGTTACAATAAATCAAACCAATGAAAATTCTAAATTTTCATCTCTTAAATCTCAGAAGACTCAAAACCTATATTGAAAAACTTTATCACCGTAATTCATCTATTTTGCGTATATAGTATAAAATTTATTTTTGTATAAAGCTGTGCCAGAATTCAATTTATCATCAATTTAAATTATTGCTCCAGTCAATAATCATTATTCTAAACATAAAAATTCATCTCGTAAAGCTAAAGCCAAATTAACACAATTTTTCTTGCAGGAATGAAAACTAAAGAACTTAAGGCAAATCAAATATTTTATATAAATATCATATTATCCTTTATTTTTTTGGATTTATCAGAAGTTTTATTTTCAAGATTTTGGTATCATATCTTTAACAAGAAATGATTGCATGTATCCGGTTTGTAAACTATTAAACATATATGCTTATTATTTATCAAGTTAATGTCAAACACACTTAAATCATTAGGATCCCATTGAGTGATCAAATATAAAGGTTTCACTAATATATGTAGCCATAATTCTTTGGTTGGTGGATCTGAAAAATATTTCGAAATCTTTTTTATTAGTCCTGGAGTAAAAGGTTGTTCAGATGATCGTTATGATCACGAATTTTACAAAGTTTGAACTTGTCTGCAGGGAAATTATTGAACTCTGGTGCCTTTCCACCTTGATAACTTTTTGAGGTAGCTGACCAACTTGCTACTATCAATATCGATGGCAAAAGCATTTATGGATGTATTTCTTTGAACAAGGCAGATGATAGTTTTGTAAGATTCTACAATAATAAGCAGGTTTTAGCTTAATGAATCATATAACTAATACACGAGAGTTTCATAAGATATTTACTTACCTTTTTACGTTCTTTGATCACCTCCTCTCAGATCGTTTGCAAATATTTCTTACGTTGTGAATATTCTTTGCTTATCTGTCATGAGGAAGAGATTATTAGTAATGTACCAAATTTTTTATCTAGAGATAAAAGAAGGTACATAGCCAGTTCCTACTCCAGAATCAGCAGACTTTTACTAACAATAAAGCTAGAACGCCTGAATTGAGAGCTTGGAATGGATACCAAGCGAACAAATCTAGTAATTCTCCAAAAAACCTCCAATCTTCAAAACGGCAACATTTCTATGAGTGTCAACTTGAAGTTACCTTTTTTTGCAAAATAAAAAATGCACCTTGATTTTCAAAGAATTATTATTCATTCCTTCCGGTAGATTCCTATCTTTTTCAAGAACTGACTGGCTCAAGAATCATTGAGGTCGTGCTGGCCATTTGAAAATGGTGTTAATGTAAAGGTTTCGTTGCGATACTTTTTTAGAAATCCTCAATATGATATTTACTGCATTGCTCCTTTAAATACGGAATAAGGACTAGAATCAAAAAAATATTGTTTGCGAGACTTATAAGAGTTTCTCATAATATTCAGTTAGATATTCAGTAGATATGTTAGAAATCTTATGATGATCCGATCAGGACTGCTGATCATCGCCTTAAACATCTGAAGTATTTTATAGTAATAAGAAATAAATTTCTTTTTCAAAGAATAATTCATCAGGGATAGAAATTATATTGAATATGTTTGTTTATAAAGAAATTGTTAAAGAGGAATCTTTAACCAAAGAAAATATCGTTGAGGCATTTATGGCTGCAGACTACTTCAACTTCCAGACTAAGATTTTACTCCTTGAAAAAGAATTACAATGATAATTATTATTATCTAAAATTTCGTAAATGATGTCATTGACAGAAGATAGTATTCTTATTAAAGCGGTTTCAGTTATTATATAGAATTTGGTTATTGCTACAGCACTTCAAGTCTTTTTTTATGTGTACTTATGGGGTTTTTCGATATAGTATTATTTCTGATTTCTGATGATGCAATTAAACTCTTTTGAATTGCTAAAGAATACAAACCTTTGATAAAATTTATTATCTCAATATTAAAAATTGATAATATCATTGAGTCATTAAAATTATTCAGGTTGAAACGATTTTTAATATTTATCGATTTAAAAAATACAGATTCTATTGAAGTTTGTGGATTTTCTAAAAAATCTGGTTAAGTTTGGGACAAAGTCATCAAGTAGACTAATGATAATGAGAAAGTTTTACAAAGCATCCGATGCTTGAACTACCATTTAGGTTGTAAGGGTAATTTTGCTTGCATAAATTTCCATGAAGCTAAAGTAATGAATTTAATTATAAAAAAAATATATTTTATTATTTATTATAATAACTAAAGTTAGTAGTTAACAGAAACTTTGTCCCTCTTAGCAAACTTAATTTTTCTTAATAATTTTTTATGTTTAAAGTTTAAAATTAATAATAAAAATAAATTTAAATTTTTAGAATATTTTAATTTATTAATTGTAAGTTAAATTAGTATATCATGGGTTTACTTGAAATTAGCTATAAATAAATTTTATTTATAAATTGTTAATTAATTTTTTAATAATTAAATTTTTTTTTTTAATAATTATTATAAATAAATTTTTAAAAGAAATTTATTTTATTTTAGAAATAATATTGATAAAAAAAATTGTTTATAAAGATAATATTTAAAAAAATATATTTTTAAAACACTAATAATTATTTTAAAATTAATCAAGACTGATTAGAACTTTTTGAACTTTTTCAATCTTATTTGACAATGACTGAAATATTTTGATATTAAAGTAATATTATATCAGAAATTATCAAAATATTAAATATTAAATTAAAATTCTAATTAAAATTTACAGTATACACAAATAGTAATCAGAAATATATTTTATTTATCCCTTAGATTATAGGGTTTCACAAGCAAATTTGCCTGCTTATTTATTATAAATTCTCTTCCGATTTACTTTTATGAATAATTAATATTTTTAAAATTTTTTTTTTTTAAATTAATTATATAAATATGTAATATATTATAATAAGATTTATCTTTAATTATATAATAAAAAATGTAATGTTACTTAGAAGCTAAAAATTTGTAATTTTTAAAAAAAATTTATT